TTGCTTTGTAGTACAAGTTAATACTGGAATCGATGTTTCCGTGGGCCGACTGGTTTTTCATTGCTTTGTAGTACAAGCTTAGTACTGGAATCGATGTTTCCGTGAGCCGGCTGGTTTTTCATTGCTTTGTACAAGCTTAGTATTGGAATCGAGGTTTCCGTGAGCCGGCTGGTTTTTCATTGCTCTGTAGTACAAGTTAGTACTGGAATCGATGTTTCCGTGAGCCGGCTGGTGTTTCATTGCTCTGTGATACAAGCCTAGTACTGGAATCGATGTTTCCGTGATGCGGCCTGTTTTTCATTGCTTTGTAGTACAAGTTAATACTGGAATCGATGTTTCCGTGGGCCGACTGGTTTTTCATTGCTTAGTACAAGTTAGTACTGGAATCGATGTTTCCGTGGGCCGACTGGTTTTTCATTGCTTTGTAGCGCAAGCTTAGTACTGGAATCGATGCTTCCGTGAGCCGGCTGGTTTTTCATTGCTTTGTACAAGCTTAGTATTTGGAATCGATGTTTCCGTGAGCCGGCTGCTTTTTCATTGCTTTGTAGTACAAGCTTAGTACCCTTCCTTCTGCCCAACATTTAAACGTTATCTTTTTTATATGCCTTCTCGTTTTTACAAGGAATCCTTGACTTCGGGGCCATCCTTACATAAAGTTCCACAACCGGGTTATTTGCCATGCCTGTATCATGGATTTTCGTGTCTCTGATGTTGGCTTGTTGCGATTCCAAAGGAGCAAACCGACTAAACAACCCTAAGCTTTGTCTTTTGTGTACATCCAAGAAGGCAAAAGCTTCCGAAAACTTTAGCGGTTTGAGTCGGCTGGTAATGGGGCACAACATGCCCATGACTACAGAGGGATGCCCAAGACCAGTCTACCAGAGTCTACCCCACCGGGTTGAGAACATTTAGCTGAAGCTGGAACTGTAGCCTGCAAGTGGAGTTGAAGGCTAACATGCTACCAGACGCGCCTGGCACCGAAGAAGCTCGCAGCTCACCTCAGGATTCCAGCAGCTCGCTTACGCTTGACAGGAACTTGAACTGTTTTGTGGCCACTCCCAGTTGGCATTGAAAGTCGTTCAACTGACTGCACTCATACTTGTGTTCAGAACGCACAAGCGCCATAACCCTAAACTCGCCTTGGATTGGGAGGCGTTCTTGAGGCAGTCAGGGTTTAACAGCTGACGGTTTAAAGGTTTAGGGTTCTCAGGCCAACTGCACCACACAGCATCTTCCTCAACTCCACGAAGATGGGGAACAAGCTTTTGCAGCCGAATGTGCACCATCCAGAACTCCCAGACACAAGGAAGCTCGAAACATAACTGCTGGTCGCTGAAAAGCTGAATGTTTTGGGCTAGATGTTGTAGAGTACAGAGATCTCTCGGTGCTAAGGCTTTGCGGACACAATGATGCAAGATGCCATACGAAGCTTTAGCAGAGGACGAGGGCATGTAACTGCGACGAACCCTGCAAAAGACAACTGACCTGTATCAATGTGATCAACTCAACAATGCCAGCTACAAACCTTAAAGCCGCACGTCTACCAGAAAGATGCAGCATTTCAATCAAGTGAACAAACATTGTTATCCTGTAAGAGCAGGAGAAGGAGGGAGGACTAGGGTTCCAAGAGCAAGACTCTGCCTTCCAAGCATTGCCGGCCAGCTCTGCGGCAAAGGCGATCATCCCGCTGGGTCCCACCGAGATCTGACCGAAGCGGCCTCATCCAGGTATTTTCCTACAAGGATGTCTTGTTTGGGGCTTGCGGTTGGCCATGAGATTTCATAGATGCGAAGCAAGGAATGCGTACGGCAAACGGCGTAGGAGAAGCATGCGTTGAATGTGCAGTCTTCAAGCCCTCACACCTCAAACACGATTGCGATTGTGCGATTCAAGATTCCAGAAATATCCAGGGGCATGGTGAGCGCGACTTTCTGTTTGGAGTTTTCTGCCCGGCGGCTAAAGAGTCTTACAGTTGCGCAGCCTTATGAGAAATGCTAGAATATGAAGCAGCCGCGAATCAATCCTCACCAAAATCGTCTTTCGAAGGTTCGCTAAGAAAACCACGAGCATTAGTTTAAGCACTGCAACACTAAGTATCACCGAGCTAGAATCACCGAGCCACTCATGGTGGGCGCACGGAGGTACTCCATGGGCTGGACACCGCACAGCACGGAATCCTCTGTGCCGCAACTGAGGAGTATCCTCGGATACAGCTTCTGAACACTGCGGCGGAACACCACCGAAGCAGATGGGTCCCTGATCCTTGCCGCAGATGCCAGGCCAGTTTACGCTTTGTCATGATGTAGCCTAGCGGCCTAGCGCAGGGACGGGTAGGAGCTCCATAGCAGCTCCATCCGCCAGTGAATCAGATGCATGGGACATCATGGGACACTGTGTATCGAGACGTAGGCCTAGCTCTAGGATAGATCTGTTCCAGCATGGGAAGTGCAGGGATAAACAAGAAAACCTCCGAAATTTGTAGGCCAGTTCTTCCAACCTGCTGACTCAGCACAGGGCCGCCTCACAAGACATTCCGATAAAGAGGGTTAAAATACAAAGCCGCATTTCACCTACAGGTGTTGATCGCTAAAGCCTTCGTCATTGAACTAAAGATTCACAACGACCACCCGGAAACTTGCTTTTTTTTTGGACCTGTCCTTGACCTTGAACAGCCTCACGTTTAGGCCCAAAGTTTAGGCCAACAACCCGCAACTCCCCTCCAACTCAAGCGAGAAAGAAAAACGTTGGCTTTGTGTGGGGCTTTTGGCAGCTTGCTGGCCCACGTTGTTTGGAGCGAACAGTTTGGCATTCCTGTGGGGATTTCACCCTGATTCATTGAAGAATCTCCTTTGCCAATTCTTCTTCTGTACCAGGCATTTGGGGGTGTGTCTGTGTCTGTGTGTGCGCGCGCCACTCTGAGTCTGAGGGCCAAAGCGGCTAAACGACTTGGTCCGAGCCAAGGCACACCAGAAGCAGATCGCTGGGAAGGCGCAGGTTGACATCCTAAGACTCTGGCACAATTAAGCTCTAATGGCACGATCAAAGACAAACTTCCTGGCACCAAAATCCATGTGGTACTTCAAGCCTGTGGACACGGATTCTTCCACGATCATGTGGGACTTCGCATACGCAAGCTTTGAAGCCTCAACCTTGAACCCCGCGCCCTGAAACCCAGAACAACAAACCCCTCACACAAAACCCCATGTTGAAAAAGAAACTGCCACTAAAGCCCCCCGAAACCCAAAGTTGCAAGACAGGCTCTTGAGCCACGAGCGCCAGCCTGGGCAGCATCAGGAGTCAATGGCAGGCTTGGGGGTTTCAGGGCTTTTGGAACTGTGGTGTTGTGGTCTCAGGAGGTTCTGGGTTTTCAAGCCCTTTGGGGTTCTCATCCAGATACATTGAAGAATGGAGAATCTACCCTGTGCTGTACACGAAGAGTTTGGGGTTGGTCTTGAAACGGCGGGTGGACAGGAACCCATGCAAAGGATGAGGCACATCCAAAGCCGAAAAGACGTCTGCGGTTTGCACTCTGGGACATTCGGAACGTTTGGCCAAGCGCATCCGAGAGGCCCCAAGGAGACGTGGCAGAGGCTCGAAGCCTTGGGGCTAGCACGTGGTTGTAGGGCCTAGCCTGTTGCTCTGCGGGTGGCCTTTGCCTCCACAAACCAAACTGTCTGCCATGGACTTGGGTAATGAGGTCCAAAACATATGCCATCATACAGTGCATGTGGACTTCATTGCGATGCAGCCTCGTGTGGTGCGGGGTTCGAATATGTGCTTTTCATCAGTTTCAGCTCTCGCTCACACCCTGAACCCTAAACCCTTGGATGTGGATCGTCGAAATACATACCGTATCAAACCCTCGCCCCGCCCCCCCCCTCCCCTGGCCCCATATTTCCAATGCTCTTGTATGTCAATACACATGTAGCGCGAACATTCAAGACTTGCAAAGGCTTGCAGCTCCCATCCGATCACACCCAACCATGAAGTTGAAATCAACCACCAAGCGTCTTCTGGCCGCCTCCTTACAGAACATGTGCAAAACTGCTGCTCGGAAAATCGAGTCTGCTGCTCTGTCTACTCTCGGCCCGCAGAAAGACATGTACACGAGATTGTAGCTGCGGTGTTGTACAGACGTCTGGGAAACCATTGCATGCCCCATGCCCGAAAACTCATTTCCAGCTGCAACAGCTTTTTAGGCGTCGATGATGAACCAAAGCCTGCCTTCGGGTTTCATGAATAATTCCGAGGTTGCGTCTTGTACATGATGTGAGGTTTGTCCGTATCTTGGGGCTGGAATAGGATAGGGCCAACTGTAATTTATCTGGCCTAGGATTGGCAGTGGTTGACTTGGGAAGCCTCATGGGGCACGATGTAGCAAGCGCGCCGCCTCGTCGCCCAGGCTGGCGGCGATGGCGAGTTGCAAGTGGAGTTCCTGGCTCCACGCAGTGTTGTTTGGCTCTCGTCCTCTATATGCTTATTGTCCCCGAAGCTCTACAAAAACCCAGGCCCGAAACTCTTCTCCTCCTGTTCGAGCTGCATTGCCTCATCCTGAGTGCTTTTCAGCAAGGAATTTTGTAACTTTGTGCAGGGCTGGCGGTTTCAACCTTATGGCTACAGCTTCCTTGCACCCCCCCTTGAACACGCTCCACTGGGGGCTGATGTGCGGACCATTGGGTTTTCGGGACAAAATCACTAAGCAGCGGCAAGAAAGTGCTGACACCACCCGAACCCCAACACATTTCTAAAACTCCAAGCGGCCATGGCAAGGCCGCAGCGAAAGCTTGGGAAACGACTTGGGCAACATATGCTGCCGCGAACGCGCATGCTTGGGGACTTGAGAATGCTGGCGGGGACAAATCTGGGTGCCATGGACATAGGATCCAACACGCAGCAGAAGCCTGCGCGCGTCAGCAGCAAAGTGATGCTCCTTTTCGTTGCGAGAAGTTCTGGAACAAGACGCTCTCGCAAACCACTACAGCTCCCTCCCCTATCCCCACCTGCTGCATGTTTCCAAAGCTTTCACCACACGGACCGCTCACCTGAGATCGCTTCCGGGAAATCTCACCGAAACACAAACAAATGTGGGGAACACAACAACCACTTTGCATAACAATGTTGGTTGATTTACGCAGCATGGCGAGAGCCAATTCGCATGTCCATCATCCAGAATACGTCCATGCTTACAGCGCATCCATTCTTCCAGCTCCCCACTTCTCGTCCAATTCGCATCGGGGACTTGTGGACTCGAGGACTTGCAGAGTCGCGAATGCATGATTGCCCGCTCGGCAGGTCAGTGCTACCACACTCTTGCAGTGACCCTCCACTCCCCTCAAGCAGCCAGAACCGTTTCCACGTCAAGGGGGAAGGTGTTGTTCTTGTCCAGGCAACATGGGGCGAATTTATACACCCAAACCAGACCTCGGAAACCAATATGTAGAACCAAAGTAACATGAGGATCGGCAACCGAGCGCGAGGCGGAAGGTACAGCAGCAAAAGAGCCACCCGAAAGACCACCCAGCCTGGCACAGCCAATCAAAGCACACCCTGCAGTGCAAGCATAAAACTGAGGCTGTAACATTTAACATTACACTTTGAGGAGCATCGGACCCAAGGTTGCAGACCAAGGCTTTGATGTTTCAGGCCCAAACGTGCTGAAACCCCATTGAATCGTTGACCTACCCCGCTCCTCGTTTGCTATTCGCAACCGTCCCTGCATTCAGCCATCTCCGGAATCAACACACCGCAACATGGCATGGGAGCTTGATGATGCTTGCAAAAACTCAATTGAAGGGGACTGGCCTCTTGTCGCTGTCGCTCCTCCTGTCCGGCTGAGGGTACAAGTGGCGCGTATCTTATATCATGCAGGTCGCGAGAACACACGTCATGCCATTGTGAACGCTACATAGCGGAAATACACATCAGCGGCGGGATTACGCACCAAGGCCGAGAAATCCCCAATACGCTGGAATGTAGGCGAACAGCGAACATGGGTCAAACTGCCGGATTTGCTGCGGACGACAGCGCTTTTTGGCATATTTTTGCATCTCTCCTGTTACATGAACAGAAAACCATCCCTACTTCTAAGGGCGGCGCGAGGATAAACCAACGCAAAGGGAAGTGCAACCCTTGCAGACATGCACAAACAAGTGTGCGCACCTTGCGCAGCGAAAGCGGCTCTCTCACAGAAGTGGCTTGAGGGAAGCAAAGAACGACACAGGACCCCATGCAACGCCGGCAAGATGTCAGAATTCATGCTGCTGCTTGCCCTGGGGGCAAACATGTTCAGGCACGTTCACGAATTTTTACTCTCTTTCAGGCGTCAATCACCATGCGTGCATGCGCTCGAATATCAGGTTTAAGGCTTATATGGGGTTAAGATGTTACTTAGGGGTTCATGAATGTTCACGGCTTAAGTTCAAGTTTGGGGTTTGGGCTTAAGATTTTGGCAACAGTCATCGTGGCGGCGTTCAGACCCTCTCAGTAAATCTCAGTAACTTGTTCCGAAGAGGAAGCGGACGACCCTATATAAGGAATGCGCCCAAGCAACCGATGTTCCATAAAACAAATACGACGCTGTGTAACTGACGTCGAGGCCGACTTCGCACATCAAGAGATGTCTCTTGGAAACGCCCCAATGTGGACGCCGATCAAAGTGTCGGGATGTTCGTTTTAGGCGAAAAGGGTCTTGGGTTGTGAGCACTACGAGCAGCAAAACACCATGTGGGCGCAGCAAATGACGAAGCCGACTTTGACACATCACGAGACACACGCTGCGGAATGCAGCCCCCCAATGTGGACGCCGATCGACGCGCAAAAAATCGAACGATGCGAGATGATGCAAGAGCAAAAGACTACGTGTACCAAGTTTGACTGAACTTGTCCAGCCATGGATGGCCAGGCGCGGCTGGCCTCTTCGAGGCGCTTCTTTTCGAAGTGTCTCTTGCGCGCCTAGCAGAATGGGGAGGCTGACGCTTGAGCCGCTTGGTTGAGTGGTGTTTGGATTCGGATAACAATGTCTTCCCTGACAGGAACTTTTCAAACAAATAAAACCATGAAATACTCTTGGGAAGGAAGCTCAATGCCAATTGGCCTGAACCACAATCAACATGCACTCCACATGCCACACTAAGGATTTGCATCTATTTATAGTACTTAGTACAAGATTAGTACTGGAAATGATCTTCGTGTGAGTCGGCTTGAGTATCATCGACTTGTAGTACAAGCTTTGTATTGGAGCCGATCTTCCCGTAAGCCGGCCTGGTTTTCATCGATCTGTAGCTCAAGCTTATGTACTGGAATCGAACGTGAGCCAGCTGGGTTTTCAACGACGTGTACAACAAGCTCAGCGCAGGAATCGATGCTCCCCTGAGCCGGGTTTTCATCGATCTGTCGTACAAGCTAAAATGCTGGAATTGATTTTCCTTCCCCTGAGGCAGCTGAGTTTCTTCCAACGACTTGAATTACGAGCTTAGTACTGCCTCCGGTAGAGTTAAGCCTAGTACTGGAACCGATGTTCCCGTGAGCCAACTGTTTTTTTTCGTTGATTTATAGTACAAGCTTAGTACTGGAACCGATGTTCCCGTGAGCCGACTGAATGATGTGATCATGCAGCTTCATGGATGTTGCTATGGTTTGCCCGATTTTCATTCCTCATCGATTTTAAGCCAAGACCCATTGCCCATGAGCAAACGGACGGAACTAATGCTAAACCAAGACCGCGGGGTTATTGTACACCCCCCATGGTAGCCAATTGGTGAAAAAACAGAACTTTTCGCACACGCCTCCAGAAACAAGATGGTGCGCTGAATTTCCTGGGCTCAGCGCAAGGCCATCATGCATCTGGATGGCGTGATCTCTTTCTTTGTCTGAGCCCGCCCAAGCTAAACAATTGCTTGCAAGCTGCTGCAGGGGTCCGGTCCTTTGTGAGCGCATACACGACCTTGTCCACCTTGGGCCACAAAAACATATGAAACCAGCAGCTATCAACGTTCGTCCGGGAAAATTCGCCCGAAACGCCAGCCCTCCACCAGCAAAATCTTGCCAAGATCACAAACGAGCCCACATGCTTATTTCAAGCCCCGGCCAGGAAGGTTGTTTAGAAATCCCTGCTTGAAAGGTCTCCTGTCCCCTGAGGCTGAAACACGCAGCGGATCACACTCCATCGTCCTCGGCACGATGGGCGTCACAGCCGGGTCAGCAGTTGTTGCTGTAACTCCAGAGGCCTCTAACGTAGTCAGTAGCCAGATGCATGTTTTCAGGATGTTTGAACATGGGTTGCAGAATGCAGGATCTGATGTTGGCCTAAGTGGTCTTGGCAAGAGGCGCCTCTCAAGATTTTCATGCCAGACAAACAAGAAAGTACACCACCGAGGAACCCTAAAAATTGCTTCGGCCCTTCCTTCGTCATCCTTCGTCTCTCACCACCTTACTTGACATGATGTTCGCAGCTCATATCCACACGGGGGAACCCTACGCTAAACCCCCAAGAGGGCCAGTCCGCACCACCAGTGAGCCGAGCGACAGCTGGACAAAAAACAAAGCAAGATGGGATTGACCAGGACGGCCGAACTGCAAACCATACTGTAAGCCCCGAAACCTAAATATGAATAATAAATACCTGGCATGACGCGAATGAATTTCTAAGTTCCGTCCAAGCATTCAACCGGAACTGCCAAGTACGTAAACACCCATGCCGGCCCAACCAGCCTCACCCGCTTCCTTACTGCGGCGCTTGTTTATGCCAATCTCAGATGCTCCTAAACTCTAGACTCGAAACCCCATGTAACGCCTGTAACTGCATCATCAATCTAAGGTGTTGACTGAAGAGCGATGTCAAAGCTGGCCGGAACCTGAGCAGCACATGGGCATGTGTCAAAAAGCCTGGGCATCAGAGTTGATTCCTACAGAGTGCATACTCGGAATGGGGATGTCAATAGTCTGACGCACTTGTTTCCGAGTGAAGGTTTGACCCCCTTCGTGCTGCATTGCTCCGGGGGGGTCCGGACGCACTTGTTTCCGAGTGAAGGTTTGACCCCTTTCGTGCTGCATTGCTCCGGGGGGGGGGTCCGGACGCACTTGTTTCCGAGTGAAGGTTTGACCCCTTTCGTGCTGCATTGCTCCGGGGCGGGTCCGGACGCACTTGTTTCCGAGTGAAGGTTTGACCCCTTTCGTGCTGCATTACTCCCGGAGGGTCCGGACGCACTTGTTTCCGAGTGAAGGTTTGACCCCTTTCGTGCTGCATTGCTCCGGGGGGGTCCGGACGCACTTGTTTCCGAGTGAAGGTTTGACCCCTTTCGTGCTGCATTGCTCCGGGGGGGTCCGGACGCACTTGTTTCCCGAGTGAAGGTTTGACCCCTTTCGTGCTGGGTCCGGACGCACTTGTTTCCGAGTGAAGGTTTGAGGCATTGCCAAAAATATCGTCTTTCGCAAGCTCAAGCCCTAAGACCTTCAACTCTTGAATCTCCTAACTCTTGTACAGGCCAATCTTGATCCACCCCTGTGTCGAGCGTTGGAGTGTTGTGTTGTGATCTGCTATCAAGCGGCGTCGAATAAATCCGCGTGAGGCAGCGAGGCATGTCCAACTGTGGGCCAATATCCGCGGCATGGGCGGGGGACTCAGATGGTTGCGGAGATCAATTCCGCCATGGTATCGTAAAGGGTCAGCAAGCCAAAGCAAACAACGTAAAACAATATCAACGAGGGGACCCACATGGACTCAAACATTGTCAAAAACTAGCTGCTCAGCTCTCAGGCCCGCGAGATGCATCACGCACTAGAGACCGATGCAAAGGAATGGCATGTGTTACGGGCTAAGTGTTACAGTAAGACATCCTGTAGCCACGCATGCAATTCTGCCTTTCTGTCTTCTGGGCGAGTGCTTAGTCACGAAATCACACAGCTCTACTTCTGTGGCGGGCTCCTGTGCATTCCTTGCTGTACAAAAAGAACGAAGGCCAACTACTGTAAGCCTGCTTGTCTGCATCAACTTTGAACGTGCATCGAATGTACCTCGAGGCGTTGCGTTGCATCCAGCCTTGGTCTGCACGAACACCGGAGTTTCATGAAAAAGTCGCGACAATTGTGCAACACAACTCAAACAGTACGACCGTGCAGCGCGAAACTGCTGTAAATGACCAAAGCATGCCTAGGTCTCTCTTTATGTATGACTTCGTGCTGTGGGGCACCGAATCTTTCTGACATCCAAGTCGAACCTCGACAAACGCCTTCACTTCAAAAGCCATGCCATGCGATGCCAACAAGCCCTCCTCCGGGCACGCAACAAAGATCAACAAAGCAGACCTTCACCTAAAGCTGATAGTATCTGTGACTCTTCGGCCTGCGTGATCGTATGACAAAGTGATGGAACAAGCAAGAAATAGCATCTGAGTGCCACGACACTCCGACATTGCCCTCACGTGCCCTCATCAATGATGAGGGCCAAACCTCATGCGTCTCGTGCTAGGTGTCTTAGACCGCTTCCTGACGCTGTGGCTCTGGAGTCTCCAGCTCCTTGGCTTCAGCTTTCTGACAGAACGCCTTTTGATTTGGAACTAACATGATGATGCCTTTGCCGCGCCATAGGTGTGCCAAAAGTCACTTAACCGTGTCGGATTCCATTCAAGCACATAATGCAACATGCAGCCGTGTCACCTGAACCCTGCGGAGAAGCCGGTTCTTCTCCTCGCTGAGCTCAGTCTTGTGCCCGAGTTCCACCTCACAAACATGGATTTTGACACGTCCTGGTTCGATGGTTCGATGAGGAACCATCTAAGTATCGAACAAAACATAGCGAAACATAACAAAACAGGCCTCCAATTTGGTGCTCAGGCTCTGCACTTCTTCCGTCCTGAACCTTACCTCGGCCTGCAAACAGCATGTGGGTCCAGGAGCCGTGAAGTGTGCGCAACAAAACACGGACTTGTATCCCAACCTGAAACCATGATTTCACCTGAAGAGCCTTCTTTGGTCCCAACTTGAACCCACGATTGCACTGGAGGGGCCTTCATGGATCCAACTTTGAAACCATGATTTCACAGGAGCGGCCTTCTTAGACAAACTTGAAACCATGATTTCACCGGAGAGGACTTCTTGGGCCCAACTCGAAACCATGATTTCACCGGAGGGTCCTTCTTGGACTTGAAACCATGGTTTGACCGGAGAGGCCTTCTTGGGCCCGACTCGAAACCATGATTTCACCGGAGGGGCCTTCTGGGGTACAACTTGAAACCGTGATTCACCAGGGGGGCCTTCTTGGGTCCAACTTGAAATCGTTATTTTACCGGGGGGGCCTTCCTGGGCCCAACTTGAAACCGTGATTTCAGCGGAGGGGCCTTTTCGGGCTCGGCTCTCTGTGCTGGACCAAGGGGACCTCAACCAAATCCAGGAAAGCCGATCCAGTTGCTTAGAAACCAGCAGAACTCCGTCTGGAGAATTTCACCATTCGAAGAACATCTGCATCCAACTTATCAATCCAGATCTTTGTCAGTTGATACGCCAAGTCCGCGTCGTCCGGTCCTCTCCCTTTTGGCTCCTCTTACCCGTTCCGTTCCGGTTTGGCTGCGGGGTCTCATTTCGCCCCCCCCCCCCCCGAGGCTCTCGGAGCCTTACTTGAAGAAGGCCGTTTAGGGCTTACGGTTGAGGATGTTGTTCAGGGTTCTAGCCTATAGGATCTATAGGGACCCGCAGAAGAATGAGCAAACAACAACCCCAACAAATAACCCACAAATCTGCCAAGAGGGGTCACGTTCTCATTGATTGTATAGCCCGTGTCAGTGTCAGTGTAAACATATTCTGGTGGAATATTGTCAAGAGGCATGCTTGTAAGAGCAAGCACTGGGCTTGCCTTCAGTTGGCTCAGGAAATCTCGACAGTGGACTATGTCCCGATGCTGTCAACTTGCTGTAAGAACTGCCCACAAGCGCCCGCCTGAAGCTTTTCTTTCTCTGATGCGGAAGCCTGCCAGACGCTGCCAGCCCGTGCACTGTGAAACGTTCGGGGATAGCATCGGAAAGTCCAGGTTCTGTCTGTCCCTACGCAGCCCAGGATGGCAGCTATACAACACATCCTTGACATGACCCAAAGCTTCTCACGAGCACTAAGCGGACTTGGACCTAGTGCACCCGACTTGGCTCCTGCAACAACTCTTGCAGGTTGCTGTTGGCTTCGCTCAGCTCGTTCTTGTGGTCTCTTGTGGCCTGCACGACGCAGTCTACCCCTGCTTCTGAAAGCAAACTCTTGAGAGGGCTCTTCAAGGAGTTTCAAAAAGTGAGGCTCCCAGTTCGCACAGCACGTGAACCTTGAGTTCCGCCAAGTGCTCACGGCTTTTGGCCTGGCGCAGACAGGTACCGAGAGCATCGTGACTCACAGGTAAAGTTGCACTAAGGATGCCTCACGATACGTCACGATTACTGAAACGTCACCCACTGCATCGCTGTAGTGCCACAATCGCTGCCATGAAGAGTGAAGGTGTCGAAGGCTTAGGGTTGAAGATGGTTCGGTGTAAGTAGAGTGTAGGGCTGACATCCTGGAGTCCTCCAAAGTGACGAAGCTGTCTTCCAGCTGTGAGTACCTTCTCCGATCGCAGTCGCTCTGCCTGGCACAGTCGAAATTGTGCTTTTGCAGACAGCAACTTTTCTAGGTTACACGAGATCAGACACTCGGCGGTGCCTGCGGAGCTTGTCCTAAAAACTGCGGTTCTCCTGCTTCAGATGCTCGACCTCCAAATGCAGAGCGAGACATGATGAACAGAAACACTAAATATGCATGCTCCGCTTCAAGGACAGAACGGCTGATACATCATGCGTTGTACTCGTATGTAGTCAGACACTAAAGTATACTAAGCATATAAGAAGCATACTTTTTCAACTCTAATTTTTTGGCAACACCGTAGAAGAGTCCAGCAGGTGCTCCGCCTGTAGAATCAGGACCTGTCGATCTTCCACCTTCGCAATTCTCTGTGTGGCACTCCTAATGTACTAGGAGCTTGCGGAGCATCGTTCATCATCGTTTCAATTCGGATCCACTCTATCATGGATGCGTTGTGATCAAGATGCAGCAAAGCCTCTCCCATTCTCTCAGTCTCCGGCCAGGCTAGTATGATGCTCCTGGATCTAGGATTGCTGGTCCCCATAGCCATCGCGACTCCCTGGCATGCCAACCACGCCAACAGCGCAATCCGATTATTGACCCATTGAGCACGAAGGATTACAGAGTTTCGCTGCAGCGGACATGTGCTGAATTCCTAGGATCAGTGGAGTCGATGGATCCCACGCTGTCCAAATCTGTCCAAGGATGTACCTTCCCACCGAACTATCCCGGGCCCTAAACTAAACCCACCCTCAACCCTAAACCCTAAACCCTCACCCAGGACTCCAAGAATGGATCCCTAAGCACCTCAAATGGGTTTAGGGTTTTAGGGGTTTAAGGGATTAGGGTTATTAGAGGCTTAGAGCTTAGGGTTTAGAGTTATAGGGTGGCGAGCTTGGCGCGATAGAGGCTACCAAGCGGGGCTTTGGGAGCCCTCTAGATGTCCCTTGCCTCAAAGCGATGGTCCAAGCAGAGGACGACTTCTGCATCCTGCATCTGAGTTTATTATTTAGTTTTTGGCTCCCCGGGCCCCCCGCCCTTCATCCCCGGCCCGGCAACATCGCATAATTGAGGACCAACCGCATAAGTTTTGAGGAAAAACGCTTAATAGCGGCCCCTCCAACTAAACCGAATCCAACATTTTTCTGAAACGTCACCCACTGCGTCGCTGTAGTGCCACAATCGCTGCCATCAAGAGTGAAGGTGTCGAAGGCTTAGGGTTGAAGATGACAGGTTCGGTCCAGGTTCGGTGTAAGCAGGGTGTAGGGCTGAGAGAAATTCGGGATGAACTGACATCCCGGAGTCCTCCAAAGTGACGAAGCTTTCTTCCAGCTGTAAGTACCTTCTCCAATCGCAGTCGCTCTGCCTGGCACAGTCGAAATTGCGCTCTTGCAGACAGCAACTTGTCTAGGTTACACGAGATCAGACACTCGGCGGTGCCTGCGGAGCTTGTCCTAAAAACTGCGGTTCTCCTGCTTCAGATGCTCGACCTCCAAATGCAGAGCGAGACATGATGAACAGAAACACTAAATATGCATGCTCCGCTTCAAGGACAGAACGGCTGATACATCATGCGTTGTACTCGTATGTAGTCAGACACTAAAGTATACTAAGCATATAAGAAGCATACTTTTTCAACTCTAATTTTTTGGCAACACCGTAGAAGAGTCCAGCAGGTGCTCCGCCTGTAGAATCAGGACCTGTCGATCTTCCACCTTCGCAATTCTCTGTGTGGCACTCCTAATGTACTAGGAGCTTGCGGAGCATCGTTCATCATCGTTTCAATTCGGATCCACTCTATCATGGATGCGTTGTGATCAAGATGCAGCAAAGCCTCTCCCATTCTCTCAGTCTCCGGCCAGGCTAGTATGATGCTCCTGGATCTAGGATTGCTGGTCCCCATAGCCATCGCGACTCCCTGGCATGCCAACCACGCCAACAGCGCAATCCGATTATTGACCCATTGAGCACGAAGGATTACAGAGTTTCGCTGCAGCGGACATGTGCTGAATTCCTAGGATCAGTGGAGTCGATGGATCCCACGCTGTCCAAATCTGTCCAAGGATGTACCTTCCCACCGAACTATCCCGGGCCCTAAACTAAACCCACCCTCAACCCTAAACCCTAAACCCTCACCCAGGACTCCAAGAATGGATCCCTAAGCACCTCAAATGGGTTTAGGGTTTTAGGGGTTTAAGGGATTAGGGTTATTAGAGGCTTAGAGCTTAGGGTTTAGAGTTATAGGGTGGCGAGCTTGGCGCGATAGAGGCTACCAAGCGGGGCTTTGGGAGCCCTCTAGATGTCCCTTGCCTCAAAGCGATGGTCCAAGCAGAGGACGACTTCTGCATCCTGCATCTGAGTTTATTATTTAGTTTTTGGCTCCCCGGGCCCCCCGCCCTTCATCCCCGGCCCGGCAACATCGCATAATTGAGGACCAACCGCATAAGTTTTGAGGAAAAACGCTTAATAGCGGCCCCTCCAACTAAACCGAATCCAACATTTTTCTGAAACGTCACCCACTGCGTCGCTGTAGTGCCACAATCGCTGCCATCAAGAGTGAAGGTGTCGAAGGCTTAGGGTTGAAGATGACAGGTTCGGTCCAGGTTCGGTGTAAGCAGGGTGTAGGGCTGAGAGAAATTCGGGATGAGCTGACATCCCGGAGTCCTCCAAAGTGACGAAGCTTTCTTCCAGCTGTAAGTACCTTCTCCGATCGCAGTCGCTCTGCCTGGCACAGTCGAAATTGCGCTCTTGCAGACAGCAACTTGTCTAGGTTACACGAGATCAGACACTCGGCGGTGCCTGCGGAGCTTGTCCTAAAAACTGCGGTTCTCCTGCTTCAGATGCTCGACCTCCAAATGCAGAGCGAGACATGATGAACAGAAACACTAAATATGCATGCTCCGCTTCAAGGACAGAACGGCTGATACATCATGCGTTGTACTCGTATGTAGTCAGACACTAAAGTATACTAAGCATATAAGAAGCATACTTTTTCAACTCTAATTTTTTGGCAACACCGTAGAAGAGTCCAGCAGGTGCTCCGCCTGTAGAATCAGGACCTGTCGATCTTCCACCTTCGCAATTCTCTGTGTGGCACTCCTAATGTACTAGGAGCTTGCGGAGCATCGTTCATCATCGTTTCAATTCGGATCCACTCTATCATGGATGCGTTGTGATCAAGATGCAGCAAAGCCTCTCCCATTCTCTCAGTCTCCGGCCAGGCTAGTATGATGCTCCTGTATTGCTTCTCAGTCACCAGGAGCTTTGGAGCCTGCGTCATCCTGGCGTCGTCTGTCATATGTCACGTGCTTCTTGCTCCGAGGAGAAAAGCGCAGAGTTGCAAAGATGTGAGCTGCTTGGGCCTGGCTTCGGTCCCAGCACAGATCAGGTCTTCCAGCTGGCACGACAGCAGCCGGCGACGAAGCGGTTGCACACAACACATGTAAAGTTTGATGTAAAGCAGGCGGCGCACACAACGTAGCTTCCAAAATCAAGATCGCCTCCGTCTTTGAGAGCCTTCACGGCCTGTGATTGCGGGTCAGGCAGGAGAGGGCTCGTGCAGCAGCATGCACATCTTCCGGCACCTCAAGACCCATATTCAAGACCTAGACCTGTCAAATCGAATTGAGCACTCAGCCTCGGCGAGGGATGCAGCGAGGCCAGGCAGGCATAAGGCTGCCATGAAGTCCATGCTATGTCGCGCTCTGTGGGCTTTGCAAACAGATGCCTGGCTGTGTATATCTTTGGTTGTACTATTCCTAAAACCTAAGCCCTAAACCTAAACCGTTTTGACTGGTCTGCTGTTTGTCTACTGCATTGCCTCACATGTCTTAGCAACTTCGAAACATCTTGTGAGACCAAGCAGCCTAGACCGCTTCGTGTAAAAAAGGGAAGTTCAACTGTTTTTTCTTGAACTTTTCTGTTTTAAACGTGGTGCTTTGTGTGCTCCATCTTTGTGATGATCGGATTGCGTGGTTATACAATATGTTCAGTAGAAGGGAGCAGCAGGTAGAAGCAGGACGAATGTGGCTCGCTACGCGCACATGATGCGACTCCCGCACCAGAGCCCAAGTGCTGCTCGGCCAGGTATATGCCCATGTTGCGTGACCATTTCAGATGATGATGCGTCGGTTTATGACCACCGACTGTCTACATCGCTGGTCAACGTTGTCGATTTTTGGCAATCGAGGCAGCAGTTGTGAGAATCTGCCCTGAAGTCTGTCAAATCAAAGGATCCTTTGATCCTTTGCCTGCGTGAAATTTGCACACGCGCATGCTGAGCGAGTTGTTTTGGTACCTAATCAAAAATCAACAAGCATCTGAGTTGCGTGGCTGGACTTCAGTTTATGTGAGCGAAGCTGCCGAGTCGACTGTGAGAGGACGCTGATGTCGGAAGCGGCCCCCAGCGAGAGGAAGGAAGGGTTCATAGTATTAATATTAAGAGAACAAGATAACCATATTGTATTAAAGGCGCACAGCGTGAAGGGGCAAACGAGAGCGTCTTTTGCATTTACAATTAAATTATGCACTTATCAGCGAATTCATGTACACACTAAGAATATGATCATTGGGGCGTATCTTGTCTTCTTTTCGTACGCGCACTAAGATATATTGTTACAGAAAATTTAATAAGGGAATCATGAGTGAAAAAATGAACGAAATGAATTCACGAAGCATTTTATCTTATTTTTTCGTAACTCTAACTGTCTTCTTCTCAGAGACCCTAATGAAAGAGTAAACGATCGCGATAAGAGAGCACGACAGAAAGAATATTTTGCGAGGAAGGAAGCACTCCTTCTCCTGCAGGGAGTTTTGCATACAGCTTCACGATGGCTGTGGCTCGCAAGGAGGGCTGACCCGCCTTGTCGGCTTCATACCCCATGGCTGGCTGGGGACCCCTTGTGAGATGGAAGCCAGCCATAGCTTGATGCTGTCGCGCGGGATGATGGTGCAGGTTAAGCTGACATGTTCCATGCAAGCCAACGTGATAATTGTGGATGCTTCTTCCTGGGCGCAATCATGGAGGTGGCGAATGGCAGCGTGGATTGGTCAACGAACCTTCGCCACTTCCATTCCCATCGAAAGCGCCACTCTCAGTGATTTCACAAATGGCAACTGAGACGGCTGGCGACCTCATTAGCGTACCAGCCTAAGAGAAAGTCCGAGCGCCTCCTTAGCGACAGAGGTGTTCTGGAGGCACTGGAATGGGGGTGTGTCTGATCAGGATTTTGCCTGCATGGCAGCACCGCAGTAAGCACCGAGATGACCAATGGCGCGGAAGGCGGAAGAGCTCATATGTGTCAGGGAGAAAATGAACAGACCCAGGGACATTTCTGTCCGCCAAGAACAAGGTGCCATCACTGCGAACCTGCGGACTTCCGTTTCCCATCGTGCAGAGAAGAGCATTGCACAGGACCGCGAGTATTTCTGGCTCTGCTGATAGGCCGCTTGCAACTGACATTTCGCGTAAAAAAACTCTAAGCACAAAAAAGTTGACGTGGACCCAGAGTTGCACTCTTGCAGTACGCTGCATGGAGAAGCCTGCAACATGCTGGCGCACATCAGAAACACCATCCACTCGAACAGCTCCATGTTGGAGAACATTGCCAACTCGCACTCGCTGTCCGCGCGAACAGAAACCGCAATCGTCCAACTGTTCTTTGCCTTCCATTAAGATTTTTCTGCAAAAAACTTAAAAACATTGTCACGGCCCCTTGATCTTCACAACGGAAACTGCTCATTGTCACAAGCGCCTTGGAGTTACTGACAGTCTTTGTTTGCGTTTAGAAGCAATTAGGGGTTCACAACACATCAGCGTTCTTCTCAACTGGTTGTAGACAAGCGGTAAAGAGGAAGTAATCAGGCTTCTGGCCGACATGAAAAGCAGCTTTCAGCTATTCACTGTCTTAAAATGAATCCCTCGAACAAAAAAGGGGAGCTTACAGTTGCAGTTCTGCCTCACTGCAGCATTACAAAGACGAGCGTGCAGCTGCTTCGGACAAGCTCCCGCACGCTCAGCGCGACGCTGCCTAAGTTGCTAGAAAAAGAGACTTCCCCGCAACCTGGACTTCGTTTCCGCAATGCTGGCCCGCAGCAGGTCTTTGTTGGTGTTTTCTGTAGAGCACTTTTTTGCTGCAGGGGGCTTCGAAGGCTTCGAAGGTGAGGACGAAGGGGCTTCGTCCTCCCTTCAAAGCCTTTAAAGCCTTTGAAGGCCCCGGCACTCCAGGTGCCCCTTTTCCCTTGAAAGCACGAACCCAAACCTATCTCAACCAAGTGCGGACACGTCTTTTTCACTCGCAGGCCTTGAGCCAAAAGTCACGAAGTGCGCAAACTAAACGAATTCACATGTGAGCTTAAACTCAGCTTCAGCGCAAAGTTCCTACACACTGCACACTCACTCAAAGTAGCGTATTGGGCAAAAACATACTCGTATGATTTCCTAGGGAAATCATCGAGGCAAAAACCATCGAGGATGGGATCATAAAGATTCCCAATCACTCCGAAGCAAAACAACTCTATACAAGCTGATCCAAAACATGACAAAACCATCAATGATCAGCCACGATCTTCCACCCTCCGCATTTTGCTGAGGGTTCATGCCAAAGATCCAAAGTCCAAGCACAGCTCGGCACTTCAACACTAAGGGGATGCCCTGGCCACATTCCGTTGGTGCGTACTCGCCACCAAAGCGAAACAACCGACACACCAGCCGATCTTTGACATAAAACTTAAACTCATGCAAGATCCCACCACAAGGCAGGTTGTCCTGGGCCCAATTGGTACCCAAGAGTTCGTTGTCCAAACTCGTGACAGACGAATTCAACTTGCATCCTCCTGCACTAGACAGGGTTGTCTTGGAAGGTCTCCAAGAGCTCGTGGTGACAAACACGTTAAAACGAATTAGTGCAAGTCTCAGGCTCACCCACTCTCAGTACACGACCTCAACGTAGTCATAGCCTTCAATCTCGCAAACTCCAGGAAAGAACCAACAACCATTGGCAAGTCGTCGCATCACCAACGTAGCGGCAGGTTCCAAAAAACAAACCAAGACAAACTGGCAGCAATCAGACGAATCTTTGCGAAGTGGGCTATCCATACCCATTCCATGAATCATCATCACCTTGCTGCTTCCATCAAGCACAAACACATGCACTGACTCAGGCTTCTCGGAAACCAATGGAAAAACACGGGCGGGCCATGGCGGCTCGGATGCCATGGCGTCCCTCAAACGGCTGCGGGGCATCGTCTTCACCCCTTGAGGTCATCTAGCACCTCAATCCATATCCTCGCCTTCCACATCATCCTTCTTTTCCTCAACCGTCTCCTCCACGGCATCTTCCTTCTTCGCATCACCCTTGATCAACTGTGATCGGCGCTCCTTTGCCGCATCTCTCATCTCCTTCAACTCACTCGTCCGCTCATCCATCATCACATCCTGCGATGATCGGCTTTGTTCGGATGCTTTCCTTTCATTCAACATCCTTTCCAGATCCGTGATGCTCAAATTCGCACGCACTTGCTCTGCGATTTGCGCGATCATGGCAGCGTCCAGCGTTGACACGGGAGATTTTCTCGAAGCTGCCTCGAGCTCAGCAATCCTTTTCCTCTTTCTTTCAGCTTCCTCGAACTCTCGATCCTGCTGAACCACAGCTTTCTTCACCATCTCTCTCAGTGCTTTCTCCTCAGCCTCCAAGTTGCCGATTCCTTCACACAGGATCTGCCACACCTGCTGCCACATATTCGATGGCATCATCAGATTGTATCTCCCCACGTAATCCATTGGGAGATGCCACTTGCAATCGCATTCCCACTTGACCAAGCTCCTGGTCTCGTGCTCGGTGACTCTCTTCCAACCATTGGCCTTGTTCTTCTCCTCATCCTCAACGATTCCAACTACCGACTCCAACACTGCCTTGTAGTTGCCATAGACATGAAATGCCCAACGCGGCACTGGTCGGTTCTCCTTGGCCAATGTCGGATCGTGGATCCTCATCGTAGTGCGCGTCAGCAAAGATATCGTCCGCACCTTATCCAACATCTCCTTGAAGACCAACATGCCACTCTTCGCATGGTCTTTCCAGCGGTTGATCCACGGCGGATGCGCAGTGCATTCCATCTCGTCCTTCACGCACCGTTCCCCACCGAGGATTGGCAGTGCAAACAACATATCTACCAACCTCAAGAGCAGGGGTGATCCCCTTGCCCTTGAGGTATCGCACGAAACTTATCACACTCAGAGCAAACGTGGCTTGCGGCACCTCGAGGTAGAGCACACCCTCGGTCATCGCCGTCTCGTAGATCAGGGCCTTGCCACCGATCTGTCCACGGAGATCGATGATCCCCAACAGCTTCGAAGGTTTCGGCTTCACCTCGGCAATCTCCTGCACCGGCCGCACCAGCTTCTCAAAGCTGTTTTGGTACTTCACCATATCACTTTCTGACAGCTCGGTGACATACTTCGATCGAAACATCCAGATCTTCGATCGCCGTTCCGCGACGACATATCGCCCACCATGCCTCGTTGTACCACGTTGGCGGTTCCAGCGCAGCCAGGTCTGGGACCAACTCAACCATGCGCTCCAGGGGCTTGGGCATACTCTTGGGTTTCGGAGGCTGCTGCCCAGAGCCTTGGGCAACTCCTCTCCTCTCACCCTTTTCACCTTTCTTTCCAGCAGCCCTTCTCTCTTTTTCGCCCTCTCGGAGGTGGAACGCGTGCGACGCGTTCGTCCCCCAAACGGTCACAACCGTTTGGCACTTCAAGCACTGGGGCTTTCCTTCACTTGTCCAGCCCACCGTTTTCTCGGCGCTTCCTTCAGTACCCATTCGGTCGTCCTCACCTTCAGGCACGACTTCCAGGCTGGGGCTAGCTTCGGTTGTGCTTGAACCAGAGTTCCTGCAGGTTGACCACAAATCCATACCTCGAGTACAACATGGGGGGTGGATTCAGTTCCAAATGAGTCCAATCGAGTTCCCCGGCGCTTAGAGAGTTTGACATCAGATGTGAACTCAGTTCCAGATGAGTCCAATCGAGTTCCCCGGCTGATCAATCATATTTTTTTAGACTCAAGACTCGATGCGCCTCAAGGTCCTACTAAAATGGTGAGTAGTGAAGAGAGTCCGAAGTTGGTACATGTGACCAACTCGATTCTGCTCAACAAGAATAGCACCTTCCAGGAGTCCATGAAGTTGTGTGGATCCCAAGTTTGGCTGGCAAGACCCACGAGCTTTCTGTCTGAGATAGACGGATGTCCATTGGATGTGGATAAGACTGTGGAAGGCCGACGAACTGAGCTGCAGAGCATGACTGCTCACAAGGCGGGGAAGGTGGTTGGAGCAGATGAGGCTCAGAAGTTTGCCCGTGAGCATGGAGATCATCCCAACTCGATGGGTCATCGGTCCGAAGATGGTGAATGGGAAGGAAGCTGTGCGAGCAAGGTGTGTCGTACAGGATATCGCCAAGGGGAGCACTGCATCGTCATTGGGACTGAGTGCTACGACTCCCTCGCTTGAAGCGTTGAGGACGCTGTTGGCCATTGCCGCTGTGGATGGCATGGATAGTGCGACTTTGGATGTATCCACTGCCTTTTTGCATTCACCTCTTCCGAAAGGATCGAAGGCGATTATCCAATTGCCAAAGGATGTGTCTGCTTGCAAGGACTATTATGTCCAGGCGTACATGATCCTGGATCAAGCCACGAATGGTTTGAGGGTTGCAGCCAAGGCGTGGAACCTAAAGCTGGCAACTGTGGTGAAGAAAGTTGGGTTGAGGCAATGACCAACTGAGCCTTCCGTCTTCGAAGGTACCGTGAGAGGAAAAAGATTCCTCATGTTATGCTATGTGGATGATTTGATTCTATGTGGAACCAAGGAGGCCATTCAGTTGGTCACAAACACCCTGAATGGGGAGCTGAAAATCAAGGAAACGGGTCGAATCACTTCCACTGGAGGAAAAATCACCTTTCTGGGGCGAGAGATTGAGAGACAAGGAAGCCATCTCAGGATGAGAGTGCCCCCGGCGTACATGGATGCGTTGTTTGAGACCGAGTTCTGTAAGGACTTGAAGGTGGTTACTGCCCCTCCGGACATCGTGAAAACGGTGGAAAAGAGGAGAGCAAGTGGTTCGGATCCAGAGCTAAGTGACGCTGCAGCTGCTAGATACCGAGCAGTACTGGGCCGGAGTGCATGGTGGGGTCAGTCAAGGCCTGACCTGAGTCGCTGGATGTCCATCCAACAAGCATTGCGACAAGTGATTAGGTTCCTCAAGGGACAATACCATGCTTGGCAGTACTACGGTCCTGATGGTGATGTGCCAGATAGTGGGCCGGCGCAGCTGGAAGTGTACGCGGATGCCAGTTGGGCACCCCAGGCTTCGCTAGGACGAAGATCAGTGTCGGGCATTGCCATCTTTTACAGAGGATGCCTGATAAAAGGAATCTCCCGAGTTCAAGGGTGTGTGTCGTTGAGTTCCTGTGAGGCTGAGTTGAGAGCAATCTTGACTGCGGTGCAAGAAAGCGAGGGGCTGGCGACATTGATCGGCCAACTGGCCGAATCAGAGATCACGATCCGGTTGCACACCGATAGTTCTTCAGCGA